GTCCTGCCCGGTACCACTGTCGGTACCAGGCCAGTCCAGTCCAGTCTAGTCAGTCCGCTGGGGGTATACCCCAGCTGCAGTTTGTTTTGTGACTCATTCTTCATTTGCACAGATTGGAGTACGTGCGTGTTGAGTCTGCGTTGGAGCTGCGCTGTCCCTTCCAGCTCCATCTCCATCTCGCCCATCCTCATCCCTTCGTCTTGATCCTGACGGACCGCCATCCCGGTGGGTCCGTCACACTGGTATTAGAGCAGGCTTTCCTCCCTGCTCCTCTCCCCCACCCACCCCACCTATCAGTTGGCACGCGACTTGAAAAAAAAAAAAAAAAAACGCTCACCACTTTTCTTTGGTAATGACATCGGTGCACTCTTTCGATCGTAACTTCTGCAATGGTGGTCCAAATTTATTGATCTTTAGCTTGTTGGAAAGCTCTCCACGATCCGCTTCCAACAAGCTATAAATCGCCTAATTCTGTGCAGTGGTTGAGGAGCTACAATCTTTCAAAGATCGTGATTTTTTTAAAAGCTCTAAAAAAAAAAAAAAAAAACGCGCTCGTTTTTTCAACGAGCGCTATTACTCTAGGCAGTGGTTGATGCTGCGCCTTATCTCGTTGGAAGCGGCTTTCAAAAAGCTTTCCAACAAGACCTTTTTTGCCAAATTTCACCCAGCGGGTGAAAAGTTATTGGCAAAAGAGTTTTTGCCCTCTACATCTTCTCTCTTGACCCGTGGCCATCTTTAAAAGTGCCACATGGCAGTTTGCTGAGGATTTTTTTGAAGACCCCCCTGGCTAGGGGGCTGCACTACAGTGAAACTGGGTGGCTGATCAAGATTTCAGCCAACCCCAGATAATGTGCAGCAGCAGTTCATCACTACTTTGAAGACCCCTTCTCCCAAGGGGTGTGTGAAGGCCAAGATCTTGTGGATCTTGGTGAAGTTGTATGCTCTTGGTTACCCAAGAGCTGGGTATCACCTCTCTCATCCCTAATCCACTCTCCCACTCCCTTTTCCCTCTCTCCCCTTCATCATCTGACCTTTTTTTCTCTCACCACCATTCATCCATCACCTTTTCTCACTCCTCTCCACTTTTCTCATTTCTCTCCTCTTCTCCCCACTAATCTCTCATCCCCTTCACTCTTTCTCCATCCACTACCATATTTTTTCTCTCCTCTTCCAACCTCACTCTCCTTGCTTCTTTTCYCTACTTCTCTCCTCTCCTTCCCCTTAATCTCTCATACCCTTCCCTCTTCACTCATCTCCCACCATCTTTTTCTCTCCTCTCTCTCCACTCACCTTCTTTTACTAATCTCTCACTCTTTTCTTCACCTTTTCCATAGCTTTCTCTCTCATTCTCTCACCCTCCTCTCCTCCTTTCTTCCCCCAACTACAACCCCATCATCTCCCTCACCTACCACTTCAATCTTTTCTCTTTCCCACCTATTTTTCTCTTTTTTTTATCACTTTTTCCATCCCCCCCCCCCCCCCTTCGATTTTTTCTTTTTTTTTTCTTTTCTCTTTTTTTTTTATTTAAATTTTCTCCGTTCCTCCAAAAATTCAAATTATTTTCTTCCCTACTTCTTTTCTCATCTTTCTGATTTATTTCATTTTCCTTTATTTATTTTGAAAATTCGAATTTTTCTGCGGCACCCTAAAATCTGATTAGGACTTAGCCATTCTTGCTTTCGGCACACATTTTGACCCCGTGGGGGTAACGAAGTGCTGCCGAAATTTGTGAAAAATCCAAAACTTGGTTAGTTTCTCTTCACTATACTCCACCTCCTTATTTATTTATCTATTTATTTATTTATTTACTTATTTTTTTTAAAAATTTAATTTGCGGCATTGTAAAAATTAGTGTGCTTTTCTGTCTCTCCTTTGTCTTTCCACATTTTGACCCCGTTGGGGTAAGAAAATGCTGCCGAAATTTTCAAAAAAATAAATAAGTCCTCTTCCCTCACTCTTTACATTTTATTTCTTTATTTATTTTTTTTCGTCTTTTATTTTATTTTTATCTCGAAATTTTATTGTTTATTCTATTTTCTTTCCTCCTCCCCTCCAAATTATCTTTTTTCTTGATTAGGTTGCCGCTACCCTCCCCTAACCACCTAAACTCCGGTTAGGGTTTTCTTAGGGTTTTTTAGGGTTTAGGGTTCTCCTAACTCCCGCCCCCCTTCCTACTCTCCCGCCTCCTCCCGTCGGGCACCCTGGACCTGGACGGCTCCTCCCCCCTCGAGCGGTTCGGCGCCTTCGTCTCACGCGCGACCCGCAAAATCCGAGGCGAGCCGACTCACACATACTTACTCCGCTCCCGCGGTCCCTTTCCTCTTACCGGTGGGCCCCTTTCCCCACACACTCCTCTGAGGACTACCTCCATTCCCCTTCCGGCCATGGAAGGGAGTTCATCCGAGGAGATTGCCGCGGCGCAGTCCACACCCCAGGTCAGCGTGTCGTCAGCGGCTCATGATCAGGCCCATCCGGACACCATGGACCTTCATGCCGTCCTTATAGCAATCCAGGCACAACTTAGTACGCTTGGACCGTTGCAAGCGCAAATCAATGCGCTAGCCCTCGACGTCAACCGCCTCAAGGGCTCCCCTCATCGCTCTCCCCACCGCTCTCACACCCCTTCCCCTACCGGCTCCGATTCCGGCTCCCCAGGACTCCGGAGACGGAGTCACCATGGTTCCCCCTCCTCTGCGGGCCAGGCCCAACACTCCCCCTCAGCGGTGGCGAGTGCTGCTGCCGCTCAGACCACCCCGTCCGTTGTGGTAGTTCTTTCGGCCACGGCCGCCCCTACCGTCTCTATTACTGCTGTAGGTGCTGCGGTCCAGGTACCGCCTTCTGGCCCAGCAGTTTCATCGACCCACACAGGTGTTGCTTCCCAGCTTCTCGCACCGGTCGTGGCAATACAGCTCCGCCCTCTTCTTCCTACCTTCGTCCCCCCGCCTTCACAGCAGGGTACCGCCCAGGTTGGGATTCCTCCTCCCACTGGGAGACCCGCTCCGCCCCCTCCACGTCCGACCCCGCACACCCAGCGAGTGGCCACTTTATAGGCCACCATTGCGCAGGCTCAGGCGGAGATTCTCGCTCTGAGACAGCCTCACCCATCACAGGCTGCCCACCCTTCTTCCTCTACCACCCCTTCGGTCCCCATGATGCAGGCTCGTTTCCCTCGACCTGCTCCTCAGCCTCTTCCCTCCTACCTCGCTATTCCGGGACAGCTGCCCGTGGCCGTTGCCTCCTCGTCTGCTGGTCCATCCGCCAGCGGCCACGGCCCACAGCCTTCCCCCACCTCTGCCCCTGCAATGGCCTCGACTTACGCTGCCGCAGTGCACTCGCCTCGATCTCTCTCCCCCCGCCATCAGCACAGTGGACATCCTCCTGTGCGCACCACGGACATTCCCGAGTATGATGGCACATCCCGTGTCTCTCGCTGGTTGCAGATAGCAACGTGCACGCTCTCTATGACGACCACCCGTCAGGAGTTGTGGTGCGATGTGCTCGCAACCAAATTGCGAGGTAGCCCTTCCACTGCGTGGGAGGATCATTATACCTAGCGCCTCCGCGTGGGTGAGGTCCCCACTCTGGCGGACTTCGCGGCCTTCCTTCAGGACCGTTTTGGCGCTCGTCATGACGCCACCGACGCCTTAGACCGCGTCACCCAGACCAGATGGTCCGGGTCTTTTATACCGGCCGACCTGGAGCGTCACATCCGGGTGTTTCAGGACGCTCGCCTTGTTTGTGACGAGACTTTCCTACCGGAGGTCACACTCACCGACCAGTTCCTTGTCAGCCTGCCGACTGACTACCGCCTAGAGCTATGAAGGCGATCATTCTCTTTCGCGGAGCAGGCATACGAGGCTGGGTGTCAGTACTAGAGGATGTGCAGTCGCTTCTCCGTCGCCCCATCCTCTTCGCAGCCAGCCGCCACCTCCCAGTCTCGGTGTACCACCCGAGGCCGCTCCTCGTTTGCCGGTCGTTTTCGTCGCCCGGCTCGACCTGGAGCGCCATTCGCTCGGCACTACAGTTCTCTCGAGTATGGAGAGGACGCCTCAGCCGAGCTCGATCCTACCATTGGGGACGCCCCCGAGGACATCGAGCTTCGGGACGCCATCCAGTACCACTTGGATGACGACACTGTCCTAATGGCCGAGCACCTGCAGATGGCCATGTCTGCCATGGGTCGTGCACGCAGTCGGGTTGCACAGGCTGGCGCCCGCACACCCACAGTTCCTCAGATAGACCTCCCGCAGGGTTTTGTCCCTCCTTGCGGAGCTCTATCCCCCGAGGAGCGTGCCGCCCTCGAGGCCCTTCGAGGCTGCCTTCGTTGCCGCCAGGATGGACACACCTCCTCACGGTGTCCATACCACATCGCCCTCGATCGGTACTACGCTGACATTTCTTGTCAGCGCCGATCTCAGTCCCCCCCCGGCCCCGCCCGGCCAGCCCCACCCAGCTAGCCACGGTGCAGTGTACCCCTGAGGCCTCGCTCGTAGCCGGCTTCCCGACCACCGAGTCGCGGTTTGCCCCTTTGGCTACCCCACCAGAGGATCCTCACGACATGACCGCCGCATCTAGCGCTTCTCCCCCGAGACTTCCGACGCGTCGCGCCATTCGCACAGCCCGTTGTAGCGCTCAACTGGCGACTCGCGATGACGTTGTGTCATCTCTCCTGGACTT